GGGGCCCGGGAGCCCTGACAGCCCTCCCGGTCCCCCAGCCCCCGTTTTGGCGGGGGGGGGGTGAGGGGAGGGAGTCCCCGCCGCGGGGAGTGTCCTCAGCGCCCCGGTGTCCGGTAGCGTCCCGCCGCCCGTGCTCGGGTGCCGGAGCCGTGGCTTGGGCCGCGCTGCGCCGCGGGGTCTCGGGGAGGATGGCTGACCCGGCCGCGCTCTCCGCGGCCGCCCTCCCGGCTGCGGCGCGGCCTTTCCCGCAGGAGCAGCTGGCGCCGGCCCCGGGCAGCCGTGCGAGCCAGCTGCCCCCCGGGCTACCGGGCTCTTTTATCGAGCTCTCGCCTCCAGCGCGGTGTCCCGAGCGAGGCCGTGAGCCGGCCGTGCGGTGCCTCCGCCGCCCGCTGAAGGCAAGAGCTGCGGCCCCTTCCTGCGGGCCTGCGGCTCTTCCCGGCGGAGGACGGGGAGGGGGCTGACATCCATCCCCTGCGTGGAAAAGCTGGGGGTGTTGCGTAGAAGCTTAACCTGGGAGGAGAATGTTGTAGGCCCGGAGGTCTGGAGCAGCAGCTTTCCATACCTGTTCGTCAGACTTCATTGCCACGGCTATAAGTAGTTACTAGGAAAAGATGTCCACTTGCAAAGGCTCCTATGCCTGTTTTTTCTCCTCTTTTGGAGTGTTACTGGCTGTTGTTCTAATGCATATTTTTGACCTACTGAGCACTGTGTGGCATGACAGGGAATGCACTGTCTTGTAGAGCTTGTGACAGAGATTCCCCAAGAGAATGAATTCAGTGTCACGGCAGAACTGAAGAACTTGCTACAGTTGTGTGTTGGAGGACCAGATGGCTTCCTCTGTGGCATAAGCTTAGATTTTGTGATTGACTTTTCTTAAACTGGGACCTATAAATCTCTCCATCTCATTTAAAGCAGTTTTCTTGAGACAACTTAACTACTAGCAACAGAGGCCAAAACTCCTCGTTTATGGGATTTGTCTGAGGGACGACCCTGTGGCTAAACGTAGGGTGACGCACCTGCATCTGACCCCCTAAACGTAGGGTGACGCATCGGTGCTATATGGTGTTACTGCCTTGATGAGAGTTCAGGCCGTTGTGTGACTTGCTGTCTCGGAGGAAGCTGTGCAGAGCTCAGATTTTACAAGCAGACAGGTGGGGTGTCTCTCAAGTCAGGGCTGATGACTAACTGGAAATGTCAGGGTTAACTAGAGCAGCTCTGGCTTTTCATCAGGTTTGTTTGTATTCAGCACACCTTCCCTGCAGTGTCTGGGGATAAGGCTGTCCTGCCCTGATGTGTGTCTGAGAAGAACCGTCAGTGAGATGTGCTTCTCATCCTACCCTGTGCCCTTTATTTGCTCATACTCAAGGGATTGTTTGTATTCCCCTCTCAACCATTCCTGTTACCAGCCCTCATTTTCATTGGGACTCTCATTCCCTTGCTCCACTCTCCTTCCAGCAAGCATTTATCTCTGTGTCTTTCCCTTCCAATACAGTTTCTAGCACTTTCTCGAACTTTTTCCAGGTTCTTGTCAAGAATGCCTGTGATGCGGCTGCGGTAGGTCAGCTCCGATGGCCATGGCCAGTCCCCTTTATCCACCCTGCTCATAGGGACATACAACCCTGCTCAGTTGCCAAGCTCGCACATGCACAGAATAATCCTTTTAACAGCTGGATGTTAGCCTTGTCTTTCCAAGGCTTAAGTGTTTGAATACTTTTTTGCATCTCCAAAGGACTGTGGAGACAGCTGCAGGGGAGAGTGTTTGGAGGGCTAGAAGAGCCCTGGTTTTCCAGGTGCATTTGAAACTGTGATGGTATGTCACCCTTTGGAAACAGGCTTGAAGGGAAAGGAGCTGAGACTGGAAAATGCCTTTCTCGCATGCACTGTAACAGTGAATTTAGTAACTCCGGTTGAGGACACAAGGTCTAACTACCCCCAAGCATGCACTGTGGAGCATTACAGGCAGCCTCCATCAGTAAGAAAGTCTTAACTTTGCCAGGAGTGGACCAGGTGGCACAGGAAACAGCCAAGTGTGGGCTTAATGTGTATACCATGGACATTAAATACCAGCTGTAAAACCTGGGCTGTCTGTGTGTGGTTAGCTAATTAACACCACTGGCAGTCTTTAAGTGGAAACAGGAAAAAAAAAAAAGCATTGGAACTAACAGTTTCTTGTTTCTGATGTGTTTGCCCTTTTTTTGCTGTGGAATTGCACTGAGGCTGCAGAGTGAGGTCACCCCATGCTGGATGCCAAGGAGACCATGCAGATGAGCTGTATTACAAATGTACTAATTGTAAACAGCTTCCGACAGAGTTCTTGCCTTAATAGATGCTGGAAGAGGGGCTTTCCCATTCTAGGTTACTGATGCTGGCCTGTATCAAGCAATTGCAGGACACACTGTTTCCCTGGGAGGAAGTTACCATAGATTCCTTGAAACAGAATGACCAAAATCAACCCCAAATGCATCCAGCGCAAGTTGGGCAAGTTGAGGCTGGATATGAGCTCTGAGACTTTGTTAGTCCTGAGGGACTGCTGCAGGTCCTCAGGATGCAACTTTGTAATAGTTCTGCAGGCAGAGATACAAAGTAAAATGTGCATTTAGGGGCTTTTTTCACTATTGTTTAAAATATCTTGGCTTTTTACACTAAAAAACACAGAACTTCTTCTTAGAAGGTGAAGGGAGGAATCAGGCATCCTGAACTATAAACTACAGGATGAGTTTATTTTTCCTCCACTTGAGTCAGCTTTGGATATTTGGAAATTTCGGAGTTTCCGTTTTCTAAACAGTTGGGTTTTTTTTTTTTTTCTCCTCCAGATTAAAGTTCATAACTGGTGTGTCTTTTCTGCCCCCCAGTCTTATTTACTCTGGTTAACTCATGCTTCTGTATGCTCTTAGCTCAAAGCCTTCCCATGAGAGAGAAGTGATCACCGTTTACTTACGTTTGTCCCCTTGAAGACACACTAACCACTTCTAAGTTTGTAAGAAATGGGCCCACAGTCTCTGTGATGTAAAAGACAAGTCATATGAAAAATAAAGCCATGGGTCACTTGTGTGTGAAGGAAATGAGCACAGCACCAAATGAATGTGATGGGTAGGCAAGCAGTTTTCATGAAATTTGTGTAAAACAGTTTTCTCTGGTGCTAAAACGATGGATTCATCTGTGCTGAGGCATAGTTTGTGGCTTATTGAGACAGTTAATGTCATGCACGTGAATAGCAGGTTGTCCAGCTCTCCAAGTCTGGTCTCGTTCTCTTCCCAGCTCCGACTGCAGCAGTGCCGTTCCCCGGGGAGGATGCAATCACGCTTGCTCTGTCATCTTTATGCCGTGTTTGCCGTAGTTAGACCAGGTCAGCTCTAGCTCATCAGCATAGCAGCAACAAATGCAGCTCTACTGGGAGACGTGGTTACCCACTTGCTGAGTGTTTGGGAGGGCGCTCAGCTCTTTATCCTGCTGTGTAAAAGCGGGGAAGTCGCTACTGGGCTTCTTATGGTTTTGGCCACCTTTCCTGGTGGTGGAATATGTCTCTCTCTAGCTGTGACAGTTACAGGTTGTGAGAGCTCTGAGCACTGATGGGAAAATGCAGAATGGGAAAACCGTGAAGGCATGGACTGACAAAGTGTCTTGGGGCAGGGACTGAACACTTCATATCCTCTAGTAAAGTGAATAGCCTGACAGGAGCTGTACTGACCTGCAGCTCTTCCTACCTGTCAGCTGTCCAAATGCATTCCTTGCCCCAGACCTCTCTAGGATGAGCAGTGTTACAGTTTGGAATCTGCGATTTGTTCCCATTTTCAATCAAAATAGGCATCTGTAAGTTGGTGGTTTTTTTTTCTTCCGGATTTTACGTAGCAATTCTAACTAAACTCTTCAATTCCTGATATAACACAAGATGATTATGTGTGGTTAACCTCAAGGGCAGGCACGCTGTAACTGCTCTTGCAGTTTTAATCAGTTGTCATGAAGTCAGTGATAGACTGAAGGAAACACTCTCCTGCTGTTCCCGAAATGAGGGAACGAGGGGGCAAGGAGCAGTACTGGCTTGGCAAATATAAGTACAAACAAATCAAACCTAGTTTCTAAAGCACTCCTCTGCAAATAGGGAAATGCACCAAGCTCTTGCAGTCTTAGCTTTACACCTATTTCTTTGTTTGAAGCTTTGAGAGCTTTAGTCCTGTTTCAGCTGAAAGCTGTTTGGGTTTAGATTTGAGAGTGGTGGGAGGGGAAAAAGTAAACTACAATTTTGGACTGCTCTCAACTTTTATTTCCTCCCAGTTTTTCTTGTACTTCCCTGTAGACAAATCAGTTGGGGCCTGTGTCTCCAGAAGAACTAGAAATGCAGCCTAAGCAAAACATTGCAAACTTAATAGGGGGAGAGAGAGGGAAACTGGGATTTTGCAGCACTGATATAAATTGTGAAGTTTCACTTCAGGATCGAGGAGGAAATTTGTAGTGGTAAGGAGTGGGCAGAAGGGAGATACTGGTGAAATCAGCTAGGGTCAGCTAATCCTCTTTGGCTGACCATGGAGAAAGAGGATGCTCTCAGCTGGTGCCTGCTTTGGAGCTCTTCAGATGCAGATGGGTAGTGGGGTTGAAGGCTGTGGTGGTGCCTTTGCTGTAAAGGTCTTTGAAAACTGAGTCTGCTAGAGAGATTTGTACAGTGAAATAGCTAGGTTGAAAAACATAAATAGGCAGTTAAATTCCAGTTCAAATATCTGTTTGAAGATCAGCGTGCTGCCTTGTTTCGAGTGGCCGTTGCATGCCGGCTGTGCGCTGCTCTGAGCAGTTGGAGCGAGCAGGGCTGCTGTGTGCTGGCAGGCAGTTTGTTCCAGCTCCAGTTTGTCTCCAAGAAGAGCGTTATTATTTGTGTAATGGTATAAATGGTGCTTTATAAACCAAGGAGGAAAACAGTGAGGAGAATGCAAGTTCTTCCTGGCATGGGATTCCCGATCCTGAATCAATGTTTTGCATCCTTCTGAGTAATGCCCTTTGAGGGACTGACCTGTCCAATGTTGTGTGGGCGCTTCTGTGTTAATCTGGTGCATGTGTTACTGCTACACTAAAATTGTTTTTTTTTTCTGATGTATTACCCAGAGCTGGAAAATCCATTTGTTCTGAATAAACTGAAGCTGCCTGGCATAGGACTGGGGAGCCCTTGAGCTTTGGCATTGCTGCAGATGCTGCCTCTCTTTAAAGGGGAGCTCTCTGAAGCGATAGGGCTAGGAAGCAGAAGTATTCTTGCGTTGTTGCTGCTGTTATTTCAGTAGAGGACACATGGTCTGGTGCCTTCAGGAGGCAGCACTGCTAGGCGGGAGCAGGGCAGGGATGTGCCTGTGGGTGGTGGGACAGTTGTTTTCTCCACTGATGGGTAGCACTTCTGCAAGCATTGATTTGTGGGCATGATAACTGATTTTTTTTTTTTTCCCCTGGTTCATGACTTCAATAAAACTTTCAAGTCTTACTAATACACCTCTCTTTCCCTGCAGAGAGTGGTAAAATGCAGAGGGAGGTGGGCACAAGGTCTATGCAGTTGCATTACATAGTGAGTTGTGCTGCTGTTCACCTCTAAAAGCTGATGTCTTCTGAATGCTCAGAGGAGCACCAGGTGTTTCTCATGTCCCAGCTGGTTTTCAGTTGTTTCCTTATGAAACTTGTTATTAAGATGGCTGAATGGCTGATTTTTGGTTGGAGATACCCTCTGCAAAGAATTTTCTTCCAATGTTGCAATTTGTTTTTCCAGATGTTGGTAATTAAAGTGTAGTAAACTTTCCTTTCAGATGGTCTCATGGCAGATAACAAGTCGCAGAAGATCTGAGATAACTGTTCATTTTGGCACTCCAGCTGTAACCCATGGCTTGGTCTTTCCCAAGTACAAGCTTACAGCAAGGAAAAAAAAAATCATTCTTTAGGCTTCTCATTTTTATACTGATCTTTTTCTTAACATGTAAACTTGAACCTTTTTTCTTTTTGAATATTGAGTAACATATTGTTATACATTAGGCAACACTCTTCTAAAATAAAGTTTGACTGAAAACCAAGGGGGTGAACAACATGATAGGTACCCTGAAATCTGGGGTAACGGGAGCCCTGCTGTGTTGCAGTTCTGCTGTGTTCACACGAGGCCCATCCCTAATGGACTCGTTTGAAAATTAGGGCTCACTCCAGGTGGGAGCCCACTGAGAACCACAGGGTATGTGCCACATGGGTTTGATCTTTGCCAGATGGTAGTTTGCCAGTGCTGCAAGACATGGTGAAGAAGTGCAGCTACTGCACAGGTTGATCAAATATGCTGAAAGTTTTGGAGAGGAGGGATGTGTGTGGATGCAGGCTTTGGAAAACAACCATATATTGAACACGAAGGCTCACTGCAATATTTTTTTTACCAACAGGGAATAGAAGTCAGATCCTGGCAATGTGTCCGTTTGGAAAAAAATGAATAAGTCACGTTCTGTGGAAGACTGTCTCTTCATCTCTGTCTGGAAAACAAACTCATTTGCCATCAAACCATAGTCTAAATAACCAAGACTTCAGAGAGTTTCTAGAATATGCCTAAATAGTGGCTTGGTCTAGAGAAGTTTTGATCATTTGTCCTCAGCAGGAGCTCGGTAAGTGAAGGCTTGCATTGCTATTTCACTGCTGCTGAGTTGTGTTATTGGAATAGTTGAGAGGCAGCTGAGTTGAGTTCCTGGCAGTGGTAGATAATGTACAAATATGACAAAATCAGGAGTCCAAAAAGGCCGCTTCCTAGAAATGTCTAACCACCTCCTGGGTGTTACATGGTTAAACTTGGAGTATCTTGTGAATGTTTGAAATTCAGCTTTAGGGATGAGACAGGTAAGCCTCTGTGGACAGCAGTGGTGCTTCACAGTATCTCAGCCTGTATGTTTTGCTGTTAAAGGAGTAGGAGGAGGTTCCTGGTGTGAAGCTTTATTAGAAGGTTCACAAGCTCCCAGGATGTTGACCTTTGTTTTTTTTTTTTTTTTTTCCTAGCATTTTGGGGTTTGTTTTGTTTTGAGCCTGGTGCCAGGTCTGTCCAATTCACAGCGTTGCTCCACTGGCACTGTCTAAAGAGCAAGTTAATGCTGAAGTTTTTACAGCACCTTCTTTAGCTATGATTGTCAACCAAACGTTGCAGGCAAGGCAGGAAATTGAGAAGCTCCTGGGGAGTGATATGCTTTCCTGTGTCTTACCTGCCAAATTTTAAAATGCTTTAAAAGCTGTTGTGTGGCATCAGATCTTACTTGGAATATTGGGGTATATGTCATAAAATGCTGCGCCACTTTTCTCACTAGACAGGGCTCATTGCACCCTAACTTGTAGGACCGTTGCATTCAGATGACTGCTGAGCATATGACTCGCAAGATTTCTTCCCAAGTCCTGGGCGATGCAAGAGTTGCAGTGAGGTCTCATAGCAGAATTCCCCGCTCTGTGCCTGAGGGCACATCTTGTGAAGCTTTAGAGTTGTCTTCATCTGATGGGTCAAGTGTGGGCACATCTGTTGCTGGCTTTTCGGGTACTTCTAGGGTGTTATGATGTACTTTTTTTTTTTTTTAAGAACGAAATAATGCTGCAGTCTTCAACCCTCAGCAGGGAGTATGTTTAAACAAACAAAACTGAAAAACAAAGCCCTGCCGCAGTTTGGGACTAGTTCTTGGGTTTTTTTGTTGTTTTCTTTAGATTAAACCACTTATGCAACCTTTTAACAGTAGCAGGGAGCACTTCAGGCCACTCATCACATCCCACCCATGCGTATCTTTGGTGGCAGTATGTGGGGGTATGTAATCAGTGTGGGCGTGAGGGTCTGGAGGCCAGAGCTTGCCCTCCGTGATGTGTAGGGGGGTGTACCCTGCAAGTTGCCCAGAGCACGGAGGCTACAGGTGTATCAGTTAGGAACTGCAGCCACCCAGAGTAGCCAGAGCTGGGTGCTGAAAACCATGTTGCAGGCCTGGGATTGGACTTGGGCTGTGGAAAGATGTGCATTAGCTGGATGAGACAGGGTGTGTGGGAGCAGGTGCTTAGTTGTGGTGAAGGAAGCAATTCTTTGTACTTGTCTCCCTCAAGAAGTTTGTGTTCGGATGATCTTAGGGCCCCAGGATTTGGGAAATCCAGCTTTCATGGTGAAAAGGAAAGCATTGATGTTTGGAAATGCCCTTTAGCAACTAAAAACCTTCGGTTCACTGATGACATTTGCAGGATCATATGATAAGAAGACTCAGTGTCTGCATACCCAAGTTAGCTAAAATGGATTTGGAAAGCAGACTGGGTAGCCTTGCTCCTGGAGGTTAAATGTCAGCTTGTGTGAGTCCCAGTCGGAGCTTTGGTGATCTGCACACAGTGAGTGGGTTACTAGCTGAATTAGAAAAAAAAAAAAGGTACTTATGTACAGATGGGTGGGTTATGTTGGCTATATAACTTGGTTATCTCCTGGCAGCACGGTAGTGAGGTGCCAGGTCTTGGTTACGGTAATCAGGGAAATGTGTTGCTCAGTGAGAGCAACAGACTTAGCTGCTGACAGCCTTGCCAGGAGGTGGAGTTTTTTTTCTTGGTGGAGATGTTCCAGGGAAGCTAATCTGTACAGAAGCTGGTGCGTACGAGCTGCACCTGAACAAGGTGGAGCTGGTTCTAGTTCCAGTTTGCTCTGGATCTTGTCAAAGCCTCGTAATTGCTCCAAGGGTTTACACCAGTTGAGGTGTTCATCATGTAGACAGGCCACAAGCAGCCCAGAGGAGCCATGACCTGCACCTAACAATTGCCCTTTACTGTGATCATTTGGCCTTAGCCTTTCCTGTTATTGTCTTTTTCATCTTGACTGCGGCTTTTCTCTTTGTGGCTTTGATCAAGGTATTCATCTGGCCTGCTATGACTTCCCTGTCTGGGAGAAATAACTGTCTTGTCCAGCTGCAAAGTCTAAATATGCAGAACAGAGCTGGGGGACCCTTTAGGTCCTTGTCTTCTGCTTGTTCCTGCTGGGCATGTCTTCTGAATGGAAAGCAGTGGTCCAGCCTGATCTCTGCAGTCTTGAGCTGTTCAGTCATTTGAGGGAGTTTTGAAACCCCTGTTGCCCTTTGGATGATATAAACTGGATCACATATCTTGTTGCAATGCCTGAAGACTGACAAGGGTTTTTAAACAAACTGACAAGGGTTTTTAACAGACTGACAAGCAAATTTTGCTGGCGTGTTTTGCATAAGCCGCATAGTAGGCAGGATCCTGCACCAGCACCGTGGTCTCTGCTTTGGAGCAGTGAAGAAGCACTAGCTGCTCTTTGAGGAACCGGCTCATCTTGCTGCACGTGTTTGAGTTTTGGAGTCCTAGTGCATAACTTGTTCTTCTGAGCCAACTTTCCACAAACAGGGTTTGTTTTTCTTCAATTTGAGTAATCTCTACAAACTCAGCCCTTTATATTCTGGATCTGCTCAGAAGCTGAGGATACAAAATGTTGCTGAGAAGAGACTTCTGATTTATTTGCTCATGTCTAACTGTTGCAGCAGAGGGGATATTGATAATAAACTTAATGTCTCTGAGACTTTTTTTTTTAATGAGAACAAGAAATGTATCGCTAAGGAATAGGCTCAGAAATCACAGCTGCCCAGAAAAAAAACCAGTGTGTGGTTCAAACCAGCTGTTTGGGTCTTGATTCTGACTCCCAGTTTTTGGTGTTTCTGCTGTAACATTGGGTTTGGGTTCGATGAGCTGTTGACAGTTGTAAGAGAAGGCTGTGTGTTGATGAGCTGAGCCTTTAGGGAGCCAGGAAAGGGACTGGCTTGGCTGTACACTGTGGTTCATGTTCAGCTGGGTATGAAATTGGAACTGGAGTGCACTGCAGATGTTATCTTTGGATTTTGGTTACTTCCTCACTAACTATATCCATGAAATTCTTGCTGCTTTTCCTTTGTATTTGCTGAATGGCATGAGTCAGATATTAAAGCAGTGACTTCAGGTTCCACCCTGGGATGGACCCCGACAAGGAAGCGCCAAATAACTTGTAATAGAATACCGCGCGTTTCCTGATGGACGGCAGGGTGGCGATTCCCTTTCAGCCCTGAATAGGGCTGCCAGGGCAAGGACGCAGTGCTGCCTGTATCTGTCAGATGTGGAGCACGAAGAGCCTCGGTATAAATACTCCCAGGACACAGGGAGTGAGGGCAGTTTTATTCCAATACGCAAAATGGACCTTTTTCCTCTGGACTTAAAAATAAACAACATTTTGGCTGAACAAATGGAACCGACCTTTTTATTAAAAGCATGTATCTTCTCATGCCTGGTTCAGTAAGAGGCTTTTAAAGCTGAAAGAACTCCTTAACTTGCAAACCAGCTGACTTAAGTCATTCCAATAGCATTTATCATCTTACTTTTTGCTCCTTAAAGTTGGAGAGCTTGTAGCCTTTTTTTTTTTTAAAAAAAAAAAAAAAGGAGACCAATAAGAAAAGTGGCTCTAACCCTGTGTGCTCTTTGCACAGGTGGAGAGACTGAGTCAAGGCAATGCTGGGTCTGTTAAGTTCATTTTTAAGTTGATTGAAAGATTCCCATTTGTTTCAGTGTGGATTGACTAGCCCACAAGCTCAAGCCTATTCCTCTTCATATGCAGAAGAAGGATTACAGATAGTAAGCAAGAGCAGCTTTAATAAAGAGATTAGATACTTTTCTACTAGAAATTAGAAAATATTCTGTAACTTGAGGGAATGCTACCAAAGTTGGTGTCTGGTAATGAGACACCAGTGAAATGCTCTCTCCCTCTTGGAACACATTCACCACGAAGGGAGCCGTCCTGACAGATGAAGCCCTTGGTTGTGTAAGAGTTGTTTAATTTCCAAGACATGAAAGAACACTTGTGCTTACCCAAATCAGTGTTTTCAGGGCTTCAACGATCACGTTCTTGTACTGGCTTTTTGTTTTCTTCCTCTGTAGTCTGGCCAAGCCTCCAACCAGGAACAAGCCCTTATTTTCTTTAGCTATTTTAGTTTGATTTAGGCTTAGCTGAACCTGACGAAACTGCAGTTTCATGGGAATGTTTGACTCCTGTTGTGCACAGAGATCTCGAAACAAAAAAGCATTTCCTTGGATGCGATGGCGAAGGTTTGTTTGCCTGCTTCTACCTCCAGGAGATGGAGATTGATGATTCCACACACTCCCCACTCCCCTCCCCCCCAAATTAAACAAACCTAATTCTTTTCATATTTCTTTGGTAAGTTTGGGGGTTGAGGTTATTTTTGTTTGGTTTTGTTGTTTGGGGGGGGGTTTGCCCCCCAGACCTTTTATCTTTTTCATTGCTTTCATTTGAACTTCTTTTATGGGTTTGTTTCTCTCTTGAAATCCAGCCACCAGGATGAGACACCATTCCAGCTATGATCCCAGAAGCACTGGTGCACAGGGATTACTGTGCATGCCTTACATAAGGCAGTCCTGTTTACAGACGTGAGGATTTTAGTCTTTACCAGCAGTATGATTTTTTTGGCTTCTGTTCAGCTTGTGACTAATTGTAACCCCAGATCTTTATTTCTGCACAGCTGCCTCTTAGGGACCAGGCTAAAGGAGACTGGAGAAAATGGGATTTTTCTGAATCTGCAAAGCATGCCTGTCTTTGGGGTTGAGATAACCCCTGCCAGGGAGGAACATGGCTGTTGCTGGCAGCTTGGGCAAGCTGCTGCCTTCCCTCAAAGGCAGTGAGCTCTCCCGTCTGCACGTGGCTCATCTGAGCCAGCTCCTGGTTTGTCACACTGGGCTTTTTCTCTGCATCTTCTCCCCGATTCTTGCATTTGCTGCTTGTTCTTTGTGCATTCCTTGCTGGGTAAACTGCAGAAGTACCAAAACCATGATGGTGTGCTTTGCTGTTTGCACATGGCTGTATAAAAGTCATGAGTGGTCTGAACCGTTGAGAGGGAAAGGAGGAAAACCGGCCTGCTGCTGTTTCTGTGGAGCTCTGGGAGAATTTTCAGTGCTTGTGCGTGGTTAATACCCGCATGTTCACTGCTGGGACACACCACGTGGGATGTGGAAACGGAAGGGCATGCATTTCTGTAAAGAAATAAAAAAAGGGAAAATCAAAGGTGGGGTGGATGGTGAGCCTTCTGAGTTTGGTGGACAGGCTTTAAAGGGCTCAGAAAGCACCTGAATGCAGCTGAGAGAAGGGCTTCCCTGAATGGAGCCACGCAAAGTGGTTTAAGTGCCATGTTCAGGTGAAACTTGGCAACTTCTACAGAGGGTATGAACATAGGTTTTCAGGAAAGTTTTAGCCAGAATGACACAGGCCCATGGGGCTTCTGGTTGCTTTCCCCATCTCTGTGTTGGCACATTGGGTTTGAAAGGCTTCATCAGGTTAAAGGGTGGGTACCAGAAATTCTCTCTGGGAAAGGCAAATTTGCAATTCTGACACTAAGTTATGTAAGTAGGACACTTGGAGCCTTAATTTTATGGTAAGGCAGCCTCACAAAGCCTATTAAAAGGGACAGAAGTCTAGCAAAACCCGTGGTTGTTGGGGCCCCGGGGCGCTGCCAGCCCTAGGGGCTGGAGGAGGGTGGCAAAGGGGGGACCTGCACCCTGGCCTGGTGGTCCATGGTACCGGGCTCTCACCGCGGTGCCTATCCTGCAGGTCTCCGTGCCGGTCCCTGGGGCAGAGGGGCCTGGAGCTGCCATGACGACAGGCGACTGCTGCCACCTCCCCGGCTCCCTGTGCGACTGCCCGGGAAGTGCTGCCCTCTCCAAGTCGGTGGAGGACTCCGACATCGGTCGCCCACAGTATGTCACGCAGGTCACCGCCAAGGATGGACGGCTCCTCTCGACGGTGATCAAGGCGCTGGGCGCACAGAGGTAAGGCTGCCTCAGGGAAGGGGCTTGGGATGACTGCACCTGGGCTTTTTTTTGCCCTTTTTTTGTGGCTCTAGGGGTAGAAGGAGACAACAAAGTCTTGTTTGTGAAGGAGTTTGCCAGGGCACTGATAGCGAGTGCAAATCCTCATTAGCCAGATGCTTCCCAGGCCTGCGCTCTCTTTGCGGGAGCTCACACTGGTCGCATGTGCTGGTGGATTGGGACTTGTGTGTTCATCAAAACTCCCCAGGTCTGCGGCTGCTCCAGCATGCGATGACACAGGTGGCCTCTCGCTGTGTGCCTCTGCCAAGTCCTTGCTGAGCAGCAGTGAAGGTGGGACGCTATGTTAGCAAGGGCTGCTGTTCATGGAGGTGATTAAGGGCTGAAAATGGAGCACAGCCCCTGTTCCAAGATATGGTCATGGAGTAAAGGCGTGGTGTCGATTTGCAGCCCCCAGGGAGAGGAGGGTGTTTGTGTTGCAGGAACTGCAGTGTCCAGCTATTGCTAGAGGGGATGTGTGGCAGCTTCACTTGCTCACTCTTACTGATGTGGCTTCTCATCATATGTTTTGAGCAGCTTCCAGAGCAGAGGACACTTGGCAGCATCGTTCAGTCCAGCTAGTGAGACTGGTCACATTTTGTGTTCAAATCCTGTCTGAACAGCTGTTATTTTTTCAATGTATTTGACCAAACGTTGATGAGGTGTTAAAGTGGTGACTGCAAATGCGAGGGAGGAAAGCTAGATGAGAACTGAGGCAAATGTAATTGCTGTATCTAGCAAACCTGGAGCAGGTCAATAAAAATGCAAAGGGAACTGAGCTTGTTCTCTGACAACCGATAGGCTGGGCGAGAAGTTGTGTGACCCCTTAAAACTTGTGGAGGTGTAAAAATTGGCTGGGGAGACTGCCTGGGATTACACGTTAAAAAAAAAAAAACCAACAGGATTCCTCATGTGTCTTCATGGGACACCAGTTCGTTCATTTTGGTGATGGTGGGTTTCATTCTCTTCCTTGTCACCAGCACTTAGCAAACCAAAGCCAGGGGCAGTGTGACTGTACCGAAAGGTTAAATTAGTGATATGGTCTCTACAGCCTGCTGGAAAACTGTGTTTGAGGGTGTATCATGTGGAGTGTGACCGGGCCCCCTCCCCCTCTGGATAGGAAGGAAGGAAAATGGAGGCCGATAAGACTTTTTTTTTTTTTCTCTCGCACTGTCAGCAAATTTTTATCCTTCTGGATTGTTTATTGGTAGCCAAGGTTATATTAATGCACTGGAAATATGAAACTTCTCAAACAGGAAGAGAACGGATGAAATATCTTACAGATGCTTTTCTTAGGAAATAACAGATGCATGAGAGCACTGGAGGCTTGGGGTTTTTTCAGTCTGTTCCTGTCACTAAGGCTGTGTGAGTAGACTGTAATTTTGTTGTTCTGATACAGCACTGAGCTTTATGGCAATAAAGGTTACAGAATGATCAAATAATTCAGATTGGAAGGGAATTATGGAGGACATCTGGTCCAGCCTCCTTTCAGAGCAAGGCCAGCTTCCAAGATGGATCAGACTGCTCAGAGCCTTGTCCGATGCAGTTTTCAGTATCTCTGAGGATGGAGTTTCCACCACCTCTTCAAACGCCTGTTGCAGGGATTGTCGTGGCTGAAGAATAAAAGGCACATGAAAATGAGGAGAGAGCAAGGGTCAGTGGTTAACCAGTGATGTTTGGCAGAGAGAAGGGGATGGTGCAGTGGGTTTACATTGCTTCACAGCCCTAAATATGATTAAAAAGTCCAATTGGGATGATACCTGCTAAGCATTGAGTTGGGAGTGGTAGAGATCTCCTGTAGTGCACCAGGAGAGGAGTATTGCTTCTCCTTTAGTGAGCTGATGTGCACTTTTTCTTGCTGGCTCTTCTCTTCCCTTCATGTCCCACCAACGTTTTTCCTCAGTATGCTCCTTTTCCTTGCACTGTGTTTCCTTGTCTTGCTCTTGCTTTCTGTTTTGTCTGGTTGTGCAAACTAATGGAAGTAGCGCTACTAGTTTTGAAGATTGCAAATTGCTTCTTCTGACTGTTGTGTTGCAATCCCACAAACTTCTTTTGCAGTCAGGTGTTGGGTTTTTTTTAAAGTCATAATAGCAGTGGAGGATGAAGTGTGAGATGGGATCAGTGTGGCTTTTGTACTGTCAGCAATATGTGGAAAAAGGTGATAGCTGATAAAGCTCACCTGGATTTCAAGAGGACACATGCAATAGGGTCTTTGAAATAAAGATGTTCCTTTCTCATCCTTCCTCCCACCCCCAAATCTGTGCATCTATGAATGTAAGAGAACGGTTGTTGTGTGAAAGAAATGGCTGGTTGGAAGGTGGGAAAGGAGTGAGATACTAGTGAGTGGCTTGTTTTCATGCTCCAGGGAGGGTAGCCCTGTACTGGGCCTCTGCTGTCCAGCATTTTATTCCTAAATGATCTTGATGAACAGTGAATGCTGAAGAGATGTACTGAATTGCTGAGAATAGCGAACTTTGGTGTCTAGAGCCATTTGAGGTTTCCCAGGGAGCCCAAGACATCCTCATTATGGAGCTGGCAGATGTGGCACAGGGCTTCTAGGAAGCCTGTGCCTTCGGATGCCAGCTGGGATGCCCTTGGACCTAAAATGGCACTAGATGCCTGAGTTTAGGGAACTGAATGCTATTGGAAATGACTGCAGGCTGAAATAATGGTTGCAGTTCAGCATGCAGTGATGCAGATGAAGAACAACAGTCTGGGATTTATGTATGTGTTTGTGGGTTTGGAGGAAGTCGATCTTGGGCATGTGACAGTTATGTGCAACAGTGACCGAAAGGCAAATAAGGTGCTAAGGCTTGGGAAAGCAATGAAGAACAGAACACAGTCACTGCAAAAATCCCTGGTGTGCCCACATCTTGAAAACTGTAGCTCTGGTCTCTGCAGCTCTAAAAAGATGTTTTAGAAATGCAAGAGGTAGAAGGAAGGGTAGAGAAGGTGATGTGTTTCTAAGGCATGACTGAATAGGCCAGGACTCTTCTGCTTGTGAAAGAGGTGACTGAGCAGGCTATGATGGAGGTCTGAGGTCTGTAAATTGGGGGTGTGTGGAAAACATTGTCTTTTACAGGACAGGAATTAGGGGATAGTACACAAAACAACCAAATGAGAGGTTTCAAGTGAAAAGGACTTGGTTCTCTGTGCAGCTAGAGGAAGTCCTTGCTACAGGAGGACACTGGTTGCTCTGAGTTTACATAGGTGCAAAGACAATGACTTTAGTCTGTGATGAAAATCTGCACGAGTATCATCTGATACACCTGAGCTAAGTTTCTGGGTGCTGGAGCAGTAGCACTAATAGTCCACAGTCAGTGGTGCTAGTTAGAGGTGTGAGGGAACACCTTGGGAGCAAATGGGTGGTTTGAGTGTCATCAGCAGTGCAGGCCTCCTGTGGGGGAGGTTTCAAGTGTCTCTGAAAGTGTTTGATACTTCCCTTGATAAGCATCTCTGGTTCTGTGAGGTCCCAAGAGAGCAGATCTTGAGCATGATCAAAGAGATTTGATTCTGTAGTTGAAACTTCTAGCCAAGGAGGGGGTGAGAAGTGGTTGTTGTTGAAGCACCAAGGCATTTCTGCAGCCAGTTAAAGGCCCAAACGCTGCAGAACAGTTCTCTGTATGGCAGTGTGGAGATGGGATGCTGAGTTACTGCACTGTGATGGGCAGAGGGTTTGTATGTCAAGAGCTTAGTCTGGGTGACTGCTTGCCATGAAATATGTTGTGTCCTTGGAGAGCTGAGCTTCCAGAGTCAATGTAGTTGTGTCTTTAGATATCGCTGTTCCTTATGCAGTTACTGCTAAACCCATGATGCAGAGGAGAGATGGGGTGAGAGTGGATAGGTGATCTGATAAATGCAACATGATTGCAAACCTCTTGAGTGGCTCCAGGTGGCTGGGGGCATGCTGTGACTAGCGTGGATCATCCAGCTTTGCTTTGGGCTTCTGGATTTGCATCAGTGCTTCAGGGTTGGTTTTGAGTCTGGTGTCAGCCTCTCTGCCTGCTGTGAGCAGAGCTGGAGACTGTGGGACACGTGTGCTGCGGTCCCTTCTGTGGCCAGCTGAGCTGGCCCCGCTGACGTGCCAGCTTCTCATGGGGGTTGTGGTGCTCATCAACACAACTTCCAGATTTTACTGACCTAAAATGTCCCAGGCACCTCCACGCTCCCCTGAGACTGGTTTCTTGCTGTAGCCGGCTGCTTTAGAGAGTTGCAGCACGCCTGGTGTGCTCTGCCACGTGCTGCCTGCTGTGTTTGCACCATTCTGGGGCTTGGTGGGATCGGACCCCATTCTCTGATGTGGCTGTATCGTTCTGCCTGCTCTGACAGTGATTTCATTCTGTTTGTCTGCCTCTTTAGTGACGGTCCCATCTGTCGAATCTGTCATGAAGGTGGAAGTGGGGAGGGACTGCTTTCCCCGTGTGACTGCACAGGAACACTGGGCACCGTGCACAAGAGCTGCCTGGAAAAATGGTTATCCTCCTCCAACACAAGTTACTGTGAGCTCTGCCACACAGAATTTGTTGTAGAGAGAAGACCGAGACCTTTGACAGAGGTACCACTTTCTTCCTGCTTCATTTTTATTTCCTTACCATTTGAGAGAAAATGACTGATTTGCCCTACTGTCCTTGTGGTTCTTGCTGTCTCCTCCTCCTTGCAGTACCTTAGCACTCACAAAGAACAATTTGTTTAGAAAGATTAAGTCTCTTATCAGACCAAGTGACATAGTTGCAAGAATGCAGTAGCGATGTTTGGGGCAACTCTTACCTGTGAACCCCACACATGCTACCTACCAGTGGCAGGCTGTAGGACTATGGAAAACATGGCATTTGTAGATACACTTTAATGCCTGAGCATTGAAACGCAGAGGTCACCACACCACTGACTGAAATATGAAGTTCTCAGAAATATTCTTTTTTCCTGTTAATTTTAATCTTACTTTACAGTGTTGCATTAGTGCAGCTCTTGCGTGTGACTTCCTTGTCATGTTCTGCTCTGAAAAGTGAGATGTGGCGATTGTTGGTACTGTTCATAAAAGACATGTCCTCCCTTGACTTATATCAATGCGTGCTTCAGAGCCTTTGGGTCTTGCTCCTTCCTGCTGAGCTGTGGTGCCCTCCTGCTGCCCTGTGTTCCACCCAGCAGAAGGAGAAAGCAGGACAAGTCTCAGCCAGTCCTGATGTTCCTCTTTGCATTGACCTTAGGGGGGCCACGTTCCAGACAGGTCCATCAGCCTCCCAGAGTTGGAAGGTACAATCCAGGCTCTGGTTGGTGGGTTGTTTTTTTGTTTTGTTTTGGTTTTTTATCACAAGGCTCTCTTCATTCCCCTGTTTAGGCGGTCTGCTGTGCTCACATTTCAGATGTCCTTTGGCCCCCGAAGTTTCTAGCAGCTGCCTGTAATGAAGCCCTTTACATGTGGGGAACAAGGGCAGCTTGGACCAGGCCATCTTCTGACCTCAGAGTTCACGTGCACATCCCCAAAGAGGAATAAGTAAATCAGTGAGTTACAGTACAAAAGGCTGTAACGGTTTGTATTAGAAGATGGTTTAATCTGTCTAAACATGAGAGTTGTGTTGGCAGGTGAGCAGGCAATGTTGATATGCCTACCGTTTCTGACGGTGCTGCAGGACCATGTAGGAGGGTGTTGCTGGCACACCTGAGGTCTAACCTGGAAGATCAAAGCAAGGTCCTGCAGCCCTTGCTGCCCGCACCCCGTTCAGATCCCATTTGCTGCCTGTGAAACTGCAGGCAGGCTCTTCCCTTGTCAGTTTGCTGCTAGGTTGGGCTTGGGTGTTCATTCAACACAATGTGCAACTGCAGAGAAGCATCAGTCTGTGGGTGGGGATTTACAGTTAACAATTTTGGGAGCCCTTCAGTCCTGCAGCCATCAGCAATGACAGAATTGGCAAAGGGTCATTGGGAGATGCCACTGCAAATACTTCACTCTTTGCGTGCACCCTGTCCCTGCAGCGTTTTTCATCACATGCCTCCCTAGCTGTGTTTGGACTACAGCACATAGCTCTGTTTTTTGTTTCAGAGGTTACTTTTCCTGTTGATAGCATTTCAAACCAATGCAAAGCAGTGCTCCTGGTGCTGCACTGTCATCAGTGAGGCTGCAGGAGAAGGTTTGTGAGCTGATTCTTAACAAGAGTCCTGTCACCTGCCAGCTTTTGGAGGTTGTTTGGTACCTGCTACCAAAAGTGTATGTGTGGGGAGGCAGGGGTTAATTCTGCTTTGTAACTGTGACTGCTCTTGTCCACTCTGTCCTTCCCCTTGCTCCATCTGTTAGATTAAAACTGAGTCACAATTGGAATTTTAAGTTGTTTTTCCCATCTCTGTTTCCATTTCCATCAATTCTAGAGGTTATTTCCTTTCCCTTCCCATCTCCCTCTGGAAACCATACCTGCCCCCTCTTCCTTCCTGCAGTCCCAGCTCTCCTTCCCACACTCCCATCTCCTCTGGGTGCCCAGCGAGCCTTGGAGGGGAAAAGAGTCCCCCAACTGGGGAAGCATTCAAACTTCAGTTTGCAAAATTGATACTCAGTTTTAATGATTGTTTAATTTATAACTGACTGTCAGTGACTTGATGGCCCTAGACAGGAGAAGGCTTTAGACTACAGCACTAAACCAAACCATGTATTTAGCAAAGCAATTTGTAAAAAAGCACTACATCAGTGGTTAGTGCTGTCTGAGTCTTAGCGCTTTTCTCCCAGCTGCTAAAACATGTAAAATGGCTCTTTGACCAAAAACTCTCAAATGGTTGCTTCAGAGGTTGAAAACCACTGCTTTAAAACATTTGGGAAGGGCTGTATCTTGGCTTTGAGGACATACTGCAGGCAAGCTCAGTGACAGTGAGTTTGTTAGGGCTTATGCGGGCCAAAATTTTGAGTGCGGGTTTCAGATGTTTTAGCTTAAGAGCTAGTAAAGTATTCATGCCCAGAAACAAACATGTGGAAGTGCGTTTAGCCATAGTTCACAGATGCTGTAGCACCTCGTAACAAGTACAGGCTTAGAAAACTGCATACTTGAATAAAAGCTCAAAGACCAGTGTATATTGGAGGGGTTTCTCCTCTGACACTGATGTCTGTGCCTCCAGCAGGCAAGAGGAGCTTGCTGGGACAGTGCAACAGGAAAGTCAAGGGTCTTCTGTCTGCCTTCTTGCCTGTACTCCAAGGTGGATGAGTGAGCAGCCTGGGACAATCAAATTTTAATTCCTGTTGAAATCTGTGAAGAGCCCTTCTGAACTGGAGCCTGTAAGGGTGTGGTGACCACCAAGCAATCTGAGTGTTGAGAGGTGATGCGTGGGCAGCATTTAATGAGCCTCAAATGCAAGAGAAACACCACTGTGTTTTCAGAAAGGAGGAGACCCCTCAAACCGTTACCAATAGGTGTCAAAGGCTTTGGGACACGAATTATTTGTTACTTTTCATGTCTGGGGACTGCCTTTGAGCACAGTGAAGGGGATGATCTGCCCTGTTCTGGTGTCTCCTGTGTCTGCTAGGGGAACAGCTTGCATAAAGTGCCATCAACACTGTCTGAGTTTGGAGGCTGGTAAGCACTTGATGAAAAGTCCCCAGTTAGCCAGTGAGAGTGATCCCTGCTGTAGAATCTAACATGCAGCTCGCCATCATCATGCAGCCCTAGAGCAATTCCTTTGCCTGCAGTTCATTGGCAGCAAGCTTTTTCCCGGGCTGTAGCCTGGTTTAATAAATTCCTTGGCAGCAGCCTGCTCTTGCTCTTTCCCAGGGGCCAGCAGCACTTCCCCATCACACAGTGGAGTGCTGTGAGTCTGACACAAGCTGCACTGAGCAGCGTGTGGGCTGTGGCTGAGGCATGCAGGTGTGCCGGGTGTCCATACAACGTGGTTCAGCTGATCAGCATGTGCGCTGCATACCTGGCGTGTCACGAGTGGAGGGCTCCTGCTAGAGTGAAGTGGCTCACCTGGCTGGAAAGGCCACCTGTTTTTGTTGTACTACTTCCACCACGCTGTAAAATGTTCTGGTCCCTGCCTGGAGTCTGCGGAAAATGTCCTGGACTTCAGTTTCTCGTTTTCCTTGGGAGTTGTTACAACTGCTCTGAGCATCTGCACTACTGAAATCTGTGCTCATTGGAAGTAGTGACAATGAGTGTGCTTCACCATGTGATGTTTGTTTGGGCTTTTTGTTCACTTAGAGGCCAATTTACAGAACTTGGGCCACTTTCAAAAGCGCGCCTGCTGTTAGCAGAGGCTCTGCCCTTAGTGCAGAGCTCTTCTGAAAGAGCTGATAACCACCTTGCCAGCTTGCTGGAACTTTCCATTAATATCCTCTGTCTGCAGTCTGGTGTAATCTCATCCCCACACCAGATTGGGCCAAAACTCTTCACTAAATACTTTTGGGAAGTGTCATCTCCAAGTTGCTCATCTGTTTCTGAGAAGGCGGCTAGGGAAAGAGGCTGCTTAGTCATTTAAAAATGACACAGTTCCCTCAGCTGCCTTATCTGAGAGATTCTCCACTCCTTTGTTGCGGGGAGGGGTGGGGAACATTTTGAAATTTTCGGGGAAGTGATGCTCATGTGCGAGTGTGCTGTTTAGTAGCTCTGATAAAAAAAATCTGCTGTTCACCAAGTAAAACTAGGAAGTCAAAATAGAAATTAGTGAGTAGAGGAGGATAAATGGGTTAGAGACTAGGACTGGGAACAATGCGGGAGCATACTTTATGGCAGTGGTGTTGATGAAAGGGTCTGTCCCAGGTGTGAAAGGCTATCCAGGCATCGTAGCTCTCTTCTGCTGTCACGTGGCCACCGTGAAACCCACAAGAGAATTAGGTGACATGCTACCTGCTGATGTTGGTCCTCACAGGAGAAAGCAGCTAGCTTTTGCTGTTCGCTCTGCTGTGTCCAACGTTTCCAGCCTGGGGAGACTTAGAGCTGCTCGTAGTGGCTGTGGTGGTCACTGGTCAGCACTGCTGATCTTTGTGGGAATGGGCCATCAGCCCCACAGAAGAACTAGCTCTGTCTGTGTTTGAAGAGCTTTCATAAGGAGAGAGGCTGAGAGGTGACTGTGGACTGGAGGAGGCGTTTTGGCGAGTGCTGTTGGGAAGCTACATGGTCGAGTTGAAATGCTTCTGCGGAAGCTGCAGAAAGTTCTTGGAAGTCAGGAAATGCCACAACCAAAATTGCCTTAGTTTTTACTTCAGTCCTCTTGTAGATCTGCATTACAGTGTGGTCTTTACATGGTCACAGACTGTGTCTTCCAGGATCCGTGCACGGGTGAAAGATGCCTGCTAGCTAACTTCGTTTATCCTGCTGTGTTGTGTGGCTATGTGCTCTTTTGTATCCCCATTCACAAGACAAAATTAATTCATTTCCCCGTGGGCTTCTCTGGGTTACTTATTGTTGTGATATCTGAGCACTTCACAAACAGTAATTTAATTTTGCAGCCTCCTTTAGGGAGGGAAGACAGCAACCTTGTTCAGCATGGATTAAAGAGAATTTTTTAATAGAATTGGATTTTTATTTTCTTCAAGCAGCCATTTATTTATGTTGTGGTCTGTGCAATGTAAAAATAGTAACAGTG